TATTTTTATTTTTATTTTAAAAATAATTAGAATCTTTTAATTTTTTTCATAAGATTTTATTAAATGAGCAAAATTTATATGTGGACCGTGGACCGTGGACTGTGGATATGTTATGCGTCTATCACTTTTATCCAAGACCTAGATTCACCCAACATGATAAACTAGAGACTCAAGCTGCTCTAATCTGAACCTACCCAACCGGCCGGTCTCGTTTGGCCAAGTCTACTTTGCTTTCATTTCATACTTCAATCCAAGGGCAGTGTTTATTTTATACAATTCATTAGTTGTGTTTCTATCATATTAGTATTCATCGAAATCGAAATATCTTCTTGGCATATTTAGATTCCAACATCATGAAAAAGAATTCAAGAACTTTTCTTTGGAAAGATTCCCAGACGAGAGGTTGCAAATTTAAAATTAGATGCTCTGCTTTAAGCTTACACAAGAGTGTAAAAGTAACAGAACAAACTAGAAAAAAACAGAACAGAAGTGGGGGAAGCCGCTCCCATGGCTGACCTGATCATTTTGAACGAAGGACAGCTGCGAAAGCTTGCTACCGTGGTTTACTACCGGGAAGTAGTGGCAATAAAAAACATCCAATTTGGTTCCGAACAGGAACGCGTGAAATACCTTAGAGATTGCAGGAGTAACCACGAATCCATAATGGGGCTTTTGGATGCCGGTGTCGGATTTCAGGATGGATTTCAGGATGATGAGATTAAGGATCCAATTGCTCATGACGTCTTCTCTTGCGTCAAAAGCTGCGTCAACAGTGCACTTCAGATGGTCCGGAACTACACTCTACGAATGAACTATCTGAAGAAGATCAAGGAACACAGTAATTTCCTAATTAATGGATACACTGAGGAAGCTGGATCCGAAGAACTTGGAGAACGTTCAGGGTCTGGCGATGGAAGCAGTGCAGTACAAAAATGCTATGTTGGAGTATACCAAGAAGCATAAGAGCGGGGTATCGCGCATCTTTTCGAAATGGGTCAAGAAGAAAGGCTGGACATAACTTAGGCGGTGACACATAACATGACGGGTTATATTATTATTGATTTTTTTTATTTAGCCGGTTACACATAATTAGTGTGTATTTATTCTTTTAATATAATAATATATTATATAAAATATTATATTTCTTTTATTTTTCAGTTGCTTTAATTTAATTATAGAACTTAATATATATCTATTCGTTAAAT